TGTGTGTGTGTGTGTTTGTGTGTGTGTGTGTGTGTGTGTGTGTGTGTGTGTGTGTGTGTGTGTGTGTGTGTGTGTGTGTTTATTCAGAGAAGATGTATACTGGAGGATCAGTGGATCTTACCAAAGCCATCACTCACTGCCACTGGTACACCTCACATAGTCTCAAACAATAGTCCTTAAGAAATCCCAAAATAGATATTCCACAAGATACAACAGCTCATAGGTATCTCAAACTCCTTGGGATTAGCAGCTATATCTTTTCTATTCAAGACTATTGGAGCAAAAGAGCCCTCCTTAAATGGAGGGCCAGTTGCCATTAATTGTTCAAGGCTCAAGTTAACTGAGAGACAACCTTACTAACATAACATTACTGTGACAGTGTCTGGTAGTTCTGTAAGGCTGAAATTAACCAGACCCAAACACCAAAAAATGCATGAAAATAACTAAAGACCTACATTTCTTATAAATACAGATATAAAATCCCCAGTTAAATACAAGCACACTGAATCTAGTGATGTGTACACAGGATCACCAACGACGGGTATCCCGTGTCCCAAGAATGGAATGCATGTTTAAGGAAATCTATGTATTTACTATACCATATCAGCAAAACACAAGATGAAAACCACATGACATTTGAGTGGACATAGAACACATTTGACAAAATTCATCACTAAATGATAAGAACACTCAACAAGCCATGAATACAGGAAGAACTTCCTCAGTTTGATTAAATCCATCCATAAAATTCCTCAACTTGCTTTCTCCCTATCAAAAGTCTGGTATTCAGTACCCATCAATCAGAAGCTCCCAGGGGGCAGTCAAGGATTAATGAGCAAGTAGGATGGCAAGCAGAGCAAGGAGACAACATCCATTTACATAGAAGGCACACATGGCTTTCAATCCAATATCTATCTCTACTGCAATTAAATCACCTGTATATAAACATGTATTACAAGAACACTGCTGTAGCATTCTTCATGGTAAAACAAATAACAAAAAAAGAACAAAACACAGGAAAAAAAAGAAGGAAATAAATCAGCTCCTGTCACATAAAAGTATTGAAATACTCTACACCATGACATACTAGATCACTGTTAAAAATAAAAGGTGATCTTAATTAGTTATTCAACCTATCATAAAGATACAACAGACAAGTTTAGCATAGAACAGACTGTTAATCACATGAACCTTTGCAATGGCAATAGAAGGATCCACTCTTGCAAGAGGGCAGGCTTCAACCAGATCTGTGCCAGGGTCCAACTGTGGACTCCTGGCCAGGTGTGTATGGCTATGTGTGCTCTTAGCTGGCATGGTGCAATCTACTTTAAAAATCTTCTGTAGCAATTAGAAAGGACTGGGCAGTTCTTTTAACCTAGCTTTATCTCCATGTCTCTTTTCTCTGTGTTACTCTTTTTCTGGAATAGTAGTTTTCTCTTTTCCTTGCCTTTTCTATTTTCGTCTCTACCATTTTCCTATCTCTTGGCTTTCTTCTATCTTTGTCCTTCAAGAGACCACTTCTCAGATATGCATTCCTCTGTGGATTCTGTGTTTATGAAATGGAGAGTTTCCTGCATATAATTTAGCAAATATTCTGTTTGATTTTTTTTAAAAGAAAATAATGTTATCCTATGCTTTGCTGGTATGGCTTATATTCCCATTATCCTTCCCTAATTTGAGAGGTAAGGGTTTATTATTGGTAATGGCTACTTCATTGTGATCAGAAAACCCATCACTATCCCAAAAATGTGACCTCATTGTTTCTTTCTGTTGCAGGGGATTTTGATTATGCTGATGATCTTCAGCATTGCTGAACTGTTCATTTCCCTCTTTTCCTCGATTTTGGGATACTCCTCAGAACATTTTGGGATATGCTGTTGTTGAATAACACTGTGCAATAAAGATGCAAAATGATACAACTTAGAGGCCAGTACTGCTTGGATAAAGAGCCAACACACATATGTACTTAAAACTCAAAATCATTTGAAGCAAAAGGGGTTGGGATCGTTTTGTCTGATGTAGCCATCCTGCCCCCTGGTAATGTCACTTCCTCTCCCAACAGAATGATCACCTTGGTGTAATCACCCCTCTTGTTCATTGTGGCATGGCCACTCTGTAAGTAAAGATAGGAACCAAAGCTCAAACTCAGGTCATCTGACTTCCCTACTCATGACAGCTTCTTGATGAGTCCCTTGAGAGATGCCACAGAAGGGCTCCTGTCCCATGAATCAGGAAGATACATTGAAAGGAAGAATGGGTTGGTCATCAGATTTTACCTTGAAACCACAAGACTGTCAATTGTTATGAGCCAGACATCTACAAGAGTAACTGCAGCATGCTCATTCATTTTTATTTTTAGCTTGACACTAACTAAAGTTACCCAGGAAGAGAAATGGTCAATGGAGTATCGCCCATATAAAAATGACCTGTGCTCATCTTTGGGGCACTATGATGCTTGATGTGGCAGGGTCCATGCCATTGTGGGTGGTGACACTTCCCAGTAGGTGGAGGGAGTTGTATCAAAAAGCCAGCAGGGTGATGGGTCAGAGAGTAGAGTAAGCCGCACTCCTTCGTGGATTCATGCTTTGAGTCTCAGACCTGACTTCCCTCAGTGACGGACTGTGATCTGAAAGTATAAACCAAATATAATCTCTTTCCTTTGGCTATACTATTTACCATAGCAACAGAGAAGCAAACTAGAATACTCAAATCAATAATCAGTAATGGCAAATATTGGTGGAGATACTATGTCCCAGACTGTGACCAATGGTATAGCTGCTGCTCATTTGACCTCACCAAATACTGAGGAAAATGTTATTCTTATATCCAAACAAGGAAGCTGAAGCATGAGAAGGGTAAGACTTGCTCAAGGCCACAAAGCTCTCAGTGGTAGGTCCACACCAACACACAGTCTGGGTCCATAGCCCAAGAGGTCTCACTCCTTATACACCAGCATCTATCTCTTAAGATCTTGTTGGGTCTCTGAACGCCTTTTCACCTTTCAAAATTAAGAGCCATTACATACTGACAGAAATAATGTTTTCCCCAAACAACTATATTTTACAAAGTAGTGTGGAGAATAGCACTGGTTTTATTTTCAAAACCCCTAAAGAAACAGTTAACAGCCTGGACTATCCATTCATATCATCTGAGGAACTTCCATAATCCCCAGTGCACCATAAGTAAATACATATAAATGACATGAGAGTGTGGTAGGAGCCACGTATTTGATCGGTTTTCAGAGATTTATGGGGGATTCCAATGCAGAGAATGTCTGGAAGGGACTGTTTTAAGACAGCACAGTGTATGTGGTGCAGGGAGGGGGGTCAACTAGATACTCTATATGACCCTTCCCTGCAGGCCATCATGGCTCAGACTCTGCTGCCTGTGGAATGTGCCAGTATGATCTAGTGAAAGAGCTAAATAAGATCTTAATGTGGGACTGGGAAGATGGCTCAAATTAAGAGTATTCCCTGCTCTCCTATCCAGGGAATCCACACTGGACAAAGCACAACTGCCTGTAACTCCTGTTCTAGGGTTTCTTACACCCTCTTCTGGCTCCCACGGTACCTACATGCTTGTGGTGCACAAACAACCATACATAAATTCACACACACACACACACACACACACACACACACACACACACACACACACACACGCATGCACGCACGCACTCACGCCTACAAATAAATAAAACATAAAACTTTTTAAGGTCCTCTTGTCGTTTTGAAAACATGTTTGAACTCATGGATCCCAAAAAGGATCTTGAGGATGCCAGAAGATTTCTGATCCTCACTCTGAGAATCTCAGCATTGTAATGCATTGCCCTGAACTTACTGGGTATCACTAGCATTGACACACTTCCTATGTCATTTCAACTGCCATGACTGCCCATTAAGGAAGGTGTGCCTTCAGTCACAGATGTGAAAGTGAAACTCAAAGCAGCCAACTTTTCTGAGAGCACAAAGGGCATCTCATTTAAAAAAACAAACAAACAAAAATACCAGGGCTTGTTTTTTTATTCCTAACTGCAAATCTCATATTCCATGCGGCCTTGGGCATAGGAAGAATTGCAGCCTGGTCCAATGAATGAACTAACAAGCTTTCTTGGATTTCTGCTCTAAGCTAGAAGGAGCCAATGTGTGTTCTAAGCTGGGAGGTGAATGTATAAAGCGAGAGGCAGAAGTTTGTATTTTCCATGGACTGAGGGTCTGGTGAAAGAATATTTGGTAACTGAATGAGTGATGTTCAGGCTTTTGAAGTGTCTAAAGGTGAAAACCTGACACCTAATGGTAAGTTAGACTAATTATTAGATGCCATTTTATCATGCACAAGTCATGTGACTTTGGAGTATTTAAACACTATGAGCTTTAAATTCCAAGGCTCAAACTCAGTAACACCTACCTGATGCTTTGCTGAGAACCTCCAGCGCTTGGAATTTTTAAGTCACTGGGTAAATGGTGTAGGGGCTTATAATTAGGATTTTTCTTGCTTTTAAAGCATTGTTTTTATTAATTTCTAGCAGTGTGTTGGGAAGCCAGTTTCTCCATTTTCTGAGCCATAAAACAATTAGTTGACACTGCGTGTGTATATGAAGGGACACTTGATGAGTGTCACTTTCCTATTAAAAGTGTGAAATCTTCCTTAGAACACAAAGAACTATAAAAATGTTATGTACTTGTGCTTACATTATGAGTATAACATTGGGATCATCAGGCTTGTAGCCACATTTGATTTCATTCCAACACTGAGGCTCACTTCTGAGGAACCAGCTTCTCCCTTAACAATGCCCTGAAACAAAATCCCTCTGAAGGCAAATAATTGTGGGTGCCAGGGCTTTGCTGAGCAGCTGACAGCATGCCATCACTTTAGTTCCTAATTCTGAGAAAGCCTGCTGGCTCTCACCTTCAGGGGAGAAAAAGCCAAAGAGAGCCCTTAGGTCCTGTAACATTGACGAAAGCGCGTGACTCAGAAAAGCCCAGCCCTGCTTTTAAAGGACATGGGGACCAAAGGCAGAGTAAGGAAAGGACACAAATAATCATGATGTAGAATGCAGTCTTCAGAAGAGGGAAACGCGGTGCCAAGAGGAGGGGGATTGAGAATATAGGTGGATCTGCAAATGCTAACTGAGTAAGAGCTATTATTCTTTGTGCACACTGTCAGATAGTCTTCAAGACTGGGAGCACAGGGTAATGACAAGGGGATGCTTCAAAGGAAAATTGTTAAGCGCATAATAGCATCAACAAAATGTCAAACACAAAACAAGAGAAAGTGGAGAATCAAAAGCAGTGCAGTTGACAAGACCTAATTCTGGTGGGCATTTGAGCACACTCAGCCCAAATCAGCCACAACAACATAAGCTGATGCTATAAACTGAATTTGAATC